GGCTGGGACTGGTCCCGCCTGCGCAGGGTAGCAGGAAACTCTCCGCACACTCACCGGACCTGGGCTAGGACTGCGTCTGGGGGCTCCCGGAACTCGGCAGAAAATCCTACTTGGCGGGCGGGGTGGGGGAGGCACTCTTGACATGTTATTTACTGCTGTTCTTTACTCCTTCTTCTCCTATGTTTGTTTGCCCTATTTAATGAGTTCCTTATGTTCTCATTCATGGAGTTCTGATCATTTTGGTCCCTCTCCAGAACAACTTTTAATAGTCTGTGTAGTGTTGGCTTTATCATCATGAAATTGTTTAGTTTTTCTTTGTCATGGAAGTATTTCACTTCTCCATCAAACTTGAGAGTTTTGCAAGGTATAGTCATCTGGGCTGGAATTTTTTTTCATAGAAGACTTGAAGTACTCCATTCCATCCTCTTCTTGCCTTCATGGTTTGTGAAGAGAAGTCTGCCATTGTTCTGATGGGTTTTCCTTTAAATGTGATGTTTCTTTTCTCTAGCAGCTTTCAGTATATTGTTCTTGTGCTAGATTCCTGAGATCTTGACTATTATATGTCTTGGTGTGGTTTTAATTGGTTTGAAGTTATTTGGCATTCTGTATGCTTCACTTACCTGAATGTGAGATTGTTTCCTCATATTTGGTATCTTTTCTATTATTTCTGCCCATATCCTTTTTATATCATGTGTATTGACTTCTTTCTAATTGATTCCTATTAATCTCACATTGTTCATCTTTGCATCATCTTGCAGTGATGAATAATTTTTTCCTGCATTCTAGTTGTTTTTAAGAGACCTTTTCTAACCTTTTCACTACCTGTGATGGCATCTTGAAGATCTGAAACTATCTTCAGTTTCACTCAAATGGTTTTGCAAGCTTGTGATTGAGATTTTAAGTTCCTCTAAATCTCTTTGGCTCTGTTTCATGTGATCTATTTCTCTCCTGTATGGCTCATTCAAGGAATCCATCATTTTTTCTAATCTCTTCTATATTTTTATTGGTGTCTTCTTGAGAAGCAGTTATTCTTTTACTACAGAGATTATTTCTGATGTGATTTCCTCTCTATGTTTCTGCATTTGATTCTTTACTTCAGATGCTATTAATTCAGAAATTTCTTCCTTTATTTCAGAAGTTATTTCTGAGTTCCTCTATTCCTTTTCTGTGCTTGTTTCTTTACTACAGATGCTATTGATTCAGACATTTCAGCTGTGTGATTCCCAATTTGTTCTGTGCTAGTGTCCCCTGCACTTGTTCTGTGTGAGTTTTGGGCCTGAGATTGCATTTTGCTCCTTCTCTTTTTCATTTTGTATAGCACTGTCCTCTGACCTTTGGTGTAGAGCTTTGGTGCAATACTCACCAGGCCTGGGCTTAGGCTGGGTCTACAGTGATTCTGAAAGTGTGGCAGAAATTCTTCCTCATGTGACAGGCTTGATGTGGCTCCAGAGAGGTGGAAGGGTCCCAAGAATGTGGTAGAAGGTCTCACTCATGGGGTGGGCCTGTGCTTGGTCTGGGCAGGTCCAGTGGTTGCAGGGGAGCTCAGAAGCTCTTCCACATGCTTGCCAGTCCTGGGTTTGGGCTGGCACCAGAGGGGTCACCTTAACCATTTTGGGTATATAAACTTATGGTTTGCCCCTGCCATGTTTCTTAGCTTTTCTTCTTGCTCTCTCTTTGTTGTGTAATCTTTAATTTTTCGCTTTCCATTTGGTTATATCTTTCAATTTTTATTTTTTCTTTTCAGTTCTTACACTAGGGAGACTGTGCAATATTTACACATATGGGTCTGGTTTATTTCATTTATGATTATATCTTCAAGTTGCATTCACATATATATGAAGGTATCGAGTTTCTCATTCTTTATAGCTGAGTAATACTGCATTGTATAAAAATACCACATCTTTTTCATCCATTCCTCAGGTGATGGGCATCTTGGTTGTTTCCAAGATTTGGCTATCATAAATTGTGCTGCTATAAACATAGGGACACATATATCACTATGATATGATGTTCTCAGTTCTGGGAAAATTTCCAGTAGGGGATAGATGCTTTGAGAGAGATTTCCAGTACCAGTTTTT